CGACGGAGGCGGGGGGGGCGAGGCGACGGCGAAAGCGACGGCGGCGGCGGAGCTGGGCCTCCTCCTTCTTCTTCTTCTTCTTCTCCTCCTCCCTCTCCTCCTCCTCGTCGGCTGCCATTATCTCATGTTAAATCGCCAAGTACAATACTGAAAATGGATGTATGCAATAGACTGACCCAGCTTTTTGATCTCCAGCCCTGCGTAATATTAGAACCAAGAGAAAGAATTATAGGTGCAGGCATTAGAACCAAGAGAAAGAATTATAGGTGCATGCATGAGACTTACGGGACTTCACGACGTCGAGGGCTGTGAAATCTGGTGTCAACTTCGATCCACTATAATAGATTCGTGTGTAATATATACCATGCTTTTCTGCAGCCCAGCCATGGGCCTCCTTGGCCCTCTCCTCGCCCGCTCCGGCCCAGCCATGGGCCTTCTTGGCCCGCTCCTCGCCCGCTCGCGCCCAATTATGGGCCTCCTTGGCCCGGGCTTCGGCCGCGACGGCCCGGGTGTTCGATTTCTAGTCGAACACGATACGGGACACGCCCCAAAAAATCCCCAAAATTACGCCGACTATAAAGGCGTAATCCCGCCCTGTCAGCGTCGTCGTCGTCGTCGTCGTCATCGTTGTCGTCGTCGTTGTCGTTGTCGTCGTTGGTGGTGGTGGTGGTGGTGGTGGTGCTGCTGCTAAGGACAAGGACAGGGACGGGGACAGGGAGAGTAGTGGTAATAGTGAAAGTGTTGGTGGTAGTGTTATTATATGTGGTGGAAGCCGTAGTTGTTATCGCTCTTTCCTTTCTGCCTTTAAGCAGGAAGGAGGGAATCGTTTCCCCAAGGCAAAGGCACTTATGGGTTTTACATCGTATCAAGTAAAGAGCTGTCCGCCCGAGTGTCGCTGTTGACCGGTATGCAGGAGGTGAAAACCCGTGGCAAGAACAGGCCACCTAGGAACAGGTCGTGGCCTGTCGAATCCAAAATTTACTTGGGGAAAGCGAGGCTTTGCGGCATGTAGACGTAACGCTGGCAAGCAACTTGCTGCATGGAGTTCGTGAGAAGCTTTTGGCGACCCCCCCAACGGCGTGAAATTTGATACCGTTGACCTGCAACAGACCTTTCGAGAGCCTCAATCTGTTGGGAAAAAAGGTGATATTCACAGGGTGTTAGTCGTGACGATTGCATCTTCTAGGGCTAGCTCAAATTAGGGTCAAGTTTGGATGGAGGGTCACGGCGGGGTTCTTCAGGGGCTCGACAAGGAGACAAAGGGGTCAATTTCCAGGTTTTTAAGTGTGTTCAGCAGAGATTTGCATCTATGATCAATATCATCAAATTCATGGAGTTGCGGCTTCCAAAACCCTCTCCAATAACGGCCATATTCGCTGTGTAAATTGCTGTTGTATTTCCAACTCAGTCAACTCGGCCGAATTCCCTTGGCCGCCTCCCTAGTAGGCCAACTGTTATGCACGATGCACATCTGGTGTGGTTACACTCAGACCAGACGTGAACTGCCAGCTGTGAACTTCTTCATTTCTTTCTCTGTAGAATCTAACGTTAGAATAATTGAGTAACGATGGACTCGTTCATTACACGTACCGTGCTTCTCACGCGCCTGGTCCTCTGCCGCGATTGCTTAGCGGTCCGCTTTCTAGTTCAAGTACCACCAGTCCACCTTATGAACGGCGGTTACGGCGCTGTATACCGTCACAGAGACGTTCTTCCTCTCTTCTATTATTATTGTCTTCGCTGTCGGCGTCAAGCTTCATGGGCAGAAAGCCTTGACGATGTCGGATCCTCCTCAACTTGATCTCTTGCAGCCGTTATTGACGTGGGCTAGCCTCTACGGGTAATATTTTTTTGAACGTGATTTGTCTGCTCGTTCAACACGTTACCGTTGTTTACGCGGGTTGGCATCCAGGGGGTTGACCTAGCAACGCCATGGAATCCTGCCATTAGGGGCGCTGGCCGCAGTGGCAGGGGCGGTGACAGGTGAGGGGAGACGAGGCGCGGGAGGCGAGGGAGGTGAGGGAGGCGGGGGAGGAGGAGGCGGAGGCGGCTGTTGCTGTTGCTGCTGCTGCCGCTGGGCGGCGTCGTACTCTGCCATTGTCTATTGTTAAATCGCCGAATAAAAGACTGGAAGATGTGTACATTAGACTGACCCAGCTTGTCTACTTCCAGAACTATGAATTATTAGAACAAATAAACATTGTAATATATGAGTGCATAAAACTTACCAAGCTTTCGCTGCTCCAGCTCTATATATTATCAGAATTAATAAACATAACAAAAAATGCGTGTATGGGACTTACCCCGCTTGAATTCGTCCTTGACTGTAGGATCAATGTTGGCACCAGTAATACAATAAAAAAAATGCGTGTATGGGGCTTACCCAGCTTTGCAATCTCCAAGTCTGTGGGATCAACGTTAGAACCAATGACATACGATAACCGATGCGTGTATAAGACTTGCCCAATTTCTTGCACTCCTTTTCTGTACAATCCAACGTTAGAATCAATAGAGTCATGATGGATTCGTGCATCGTACGTACCGTGCTTCTGTCACACGGAAATTGGCTGGTTACACAAGGGCTACGGTCACGGGATTAGGGCAGAAGGTCCTTACCGACTTCTTGTATAAATAGACGGCTTTAGACCCTCAAGGCCTTAAGGAAAACCAAGGACCTTTGATACCAAAGACTGTTATTAGATGAATTGAGTAATTGCTCCAAGCTAGGCCCTTGTCACAGCTTCTCTTTCGCCCGCTTGTCTGACTCCTAATTCATGCCAAGCTGGAACGACCCGAGGCAGAGGGTGATGGCCCCGAAAACCGTGAGAAAGATGTCTCTCAAGTCCATTGCAGCTGGTGATGGTGATGGTGGTGATGGTGATGGTGATGGTTGGCGATGGTGCTGTTATTGCCGTGGAGGCTGTAGTGGCCGTCGCTGTGACAAGGGCCTAGCTTGGAGCAATTTACTCAACTCATCTATAAAATATACCAATAATAACGCTCACCGCAACGGCGTAATCCCTCCCTGTCATCGTCATCGTCGTCGTCGTCGGTGGTGGTGGTAGTGGTGTTGTTATTGCTGCTGCTGCTGAGGACGGGGACGGGGACGGGGACGGGTGACGGTGGTGTTTGGTGGTTGGCGGTGATGGTGAAAGTGTCGAGCACTATCGGGGATACGCTGTATAAAACGCCGATGATTGTGGACACCGCCCTGGCGTAGTCCCTCATCGTTACCGTCTTCGTCGTCGTCGTCGGCTTCATGGGCAGAATACCTTAACAATGTTGAATCCTCCTTAACTCGATCCCTTGCAGCCGTTGTTAACGCGGGTTGGCATCGACGGGTGTTGTTTTGACGTGATGGTCTGCCTACTCAACACGGGCCAGACACATGGAAGCGAGTCCAATAGGTCGCTGCTGTCGCCGTCGTCGCATCGTGCCGCGCACTCCCGAGCCTGTTTTCCTACTATATCCAATGTCAAACCATGTAGTAATGATGGGTGCATGCATGAGACTTCCTCTAAGACTGGGGAATCTGATATTACCTTGGATAGAAGAATAATGGATTCGTGCATTGTACATACAGTGCTTCTCCTGGGCTCTAGTTGAGGCCAAGCTGGAATGCCGCGAAGGCAATGGTGATGGCCCCGAGGACGGTGAGAGCGATTTCTCTTGGTTCCATCATCGTGGCTGGTGGTGGTGATGGTGCTATGGTTGTTATTGGACGAAGACAATGAGGATGATGACGGTGACGGCGATGATGGGGGTTGTGGTTGTCGCGACCTCGTTGGAACAGGACAGAAACCGATCGAACTTGCTCATGGCAGGCTACTGTCTTCTCGGCAGCAGGTCTTTTTCCTTCCTCCTGTAAACCTTGTTCGTGCCGGGCAAGAGGACTTTCCTTGTCACTTTCCTTGTCCCTTTGCCAGGAGGCGGACCAGGACGGAGCGCACCAGACCATTCGAGGACGGCAAGAGCACGTCTGGATTTCACATGGCATTGACGAATCGCTTCATCGCCTCCATATTGTTTTCATCGTCGTGACCTTTGGTTTGCAGTATGGCATGCATTGTATCGTGGAATGTGTCCATGCATTTCCAAATATATTTGACGATATCGTAGTATACCAGGAAAGTAGCTCGATGAGTGCGAAAAAACATTTTATCCCTCCTCCGGTCGCTCTAGCCTTTGGTCTCTGATCCAAATATCTCAACGTTGGCGTCTTGGGAATAATTTTGCCATCCAATCAAAGGACTGTGGCCCGAGTCCCTCTATTAAGTGGCAGCTTTAGCCGCTGTATTGTCAAGTGTCAACAGCTGGCGGCACAAATAAGGCAGCTGTGGCCAATTGGCGCCAGACTTCACTTAAGGAGACATGGACCGGCCAGACATTTGGGTATTGTCTATTTTGCGCTGTTTAAATGCCAGTCATAACAGCACCCGCTTCCTTACGATGAAACTTGGGCCCTTTGTTCCGAGCTATTGCAAACCACTTCACAACTCCATCGCGTGGACCAGCTCGGGGCTTGTGGACAAAACCAGCGTTTTGCCAGCCATTAAACACCATACAGCAAATGATGGCACGGTATCCAGCCAAGATTCCATCCTCACGGAGTGAAGAGCATTTCATTTTCTTCACTTTGGCACCATGCTTTTTTTTGTATGTGGCGACGCATCCGACCCGCACCGCCAAGATTGACGATACGCCGAAGGTAAACTTGGACAAGGGAATTCCGTTCTTTTCGGCGGAAAGAGGCAAATTAACGACGTCTTCGCCCAAATCACCACAATGCAAAACAAAAGAGAGGAACGATAGCCTTCGACACCATCAGCAACCACAAGAAGCATCTCGTTTGAAGGGGGGACAAAAGCAGGTTCGTTGGCCTGGCCTTGTCTCCTCTCACAATTTTTTTCCTGCTACACAGCGGACAGTCTTGTTGCCTAGCACAAAGAAGCTTGACTGGAGGAAGGGAGAAGCTCCGCTAATAAGATGGCAGTAGCCTTTTCTGCGCACGAATTAACTCAGATAGCTTCCGTCCTTTCCTAACAAGGCGGCGGCCACGACGAGACCAATGACGACGACGACAATGGCAACGAGACGGGCGACGAGGCGGTCGGGTACTGCATCGTGTGGAATAAGGAGACAGATCACGTTAAAAATAACGCCCGTGGATGCTAACCCACGTTAATAACGGCTGCAAGGAATCGAGTTGAGTGGGATTCGACATCAACAACACCATGACCAACACCCGCGCCACTCCAGCCATAATAATGCTTGAGGAAGAATTTGCTGTAGAAATCCGAGCAGAGGCCGCTGAGAAGCGTTCCGAAGTCGCCGAGGCTTATGCCTTGTTGGCCGAAGCCGTGCTGTTGAGAAACGTAGTGCGTAAATACCCGAATTTTATCACTATTTTATGCATCTTAACGCTTCACAGAAGAGCAGGCAGCTGTCGAAATTCGGGCAATCGAAAAGTGAGACAATCGGAAAGCGCGGTACGTACATGAATTTATAATTTCACGCATATCAATATTCCACGGAGGAGGAGGAGGCGGCGGCGGCGGCGGCGGCAGCGGCAGTACGTGCTGCCGAAAGACATCGTGCATACAATACACGCGTCTATTATCAGTGCCACACTTTTGGATTTAGCTTGCTTCAGTATGAGTGTCAGGCTGGTTATCGGGTTTGACTACTGAACCAACTGGCATGAAGCAAGCAACATCCAGCAATCAAAGCCCATAGCCTAAGATCACCAATATCCAGGCTATAAATATCTACATCTTGGCTCTCTCTCTCTCTCTCTCTGTGCGGCCTCTGAAAATGATCCAGTATGTTGTCGGCTATTGCGAGCACCCGCTACCCTCATATCTTGTTACCAGCTCTTGTTACCTGTTACACGGAAATGGCTCTGTTATACAAGGTCTACGGTCACGAGACCTAGGGCAAAGTCCCTCACCGACTTCTGGTATTTAAAGACCCCGTTAGTCAACGAGGCCTTAAAGAAAACCAAGGACCTTTGATATCATAGACTGTTATTAGATGATTGAGCCAAATTGCTCCAAGCCCTCTAATCGAGCCCTTGTCACATTACCAGGTCTGAAAGGAACCTTCCTCGCTCGCTTTTTCCATTTCCTTGTAATCGATAGTCGTATCAGGGTCAATGTAACCGTCTTGATAATCAACGTCAATAGACTCAACATCTAGGCCCTCAAAATATTCCCTCCTAACATTCTCCTTCACGAGTGCTTCCCACCGCCTCTTCTTGTTCGTCCGACAGTCCGGGGTATCACACCAGAGGACATGCTGATTGTCCCGAGAGGAAAACTTGATTTGAAACCCTAGAAGGCCCAGCCATCCAAAGCTAGTAGGCTTCTGGACATACCACGAGTAGCGAAGCGAGAGAATGACTTGTCCCATGGCAAGATGCCACATGTATACCGCACCACAGATTCGACATTCGAGCGTCACTTGCCGTCCACACTCACATCCTTTGGGCCATGGGGCTTTCATGCCAAGGTGGTAAATGTCATGTTTTGCGAAGCAATTGCAGATGCCAGACTGAACAAACTTGCGAATCTCTCTATCGGCAGAAATGTGCGGGCACAGCCTGTGCTTGTGGTTGTGCAACGCATCTGCAACCAACTTGGACAGCCTTTCTTGAATGGCGGGCACAGTATGATCAGATCGACGCTCAAGGTCGAGTAAAGGCAGATCCCATCCATACCCTATATGCTGAGTCCAGTTCACCTCTGAATCCAGCGTAGCAGAGAACCGTGGGAATGCGGATCCGGTTTTCCAAAATCGACCGACCCTCGGTTGCGGCTGGTGTGACCGACGGGTGCATGCAATCTCACACGCCATGTCGGCGACAATGGTTTGGAAATCTATGAGGTCATGCCATGACAGTGACCTAACGAGAGTGTGATCGCACACCGTAAAGCGTTGGAGCCATCCAATGCAGATTTGCTCATTGGAGGGGACTCCATATGCTGCATTGTCCTCGGGGAAGACTGCCCTTGCGTGTAGAACACCACATCCGTGGCAATATTGCAAGCTGCGCAGCGTCTCTAATCTTTTTTCTATCGTCCCGCAATCTTCGGCCGCAAGGCAGGCGGTGCAATACATGTCATGATGTAGAGAATTGGCGACGTCGTTCCTCTGCGCGTGGGTGAGCAGAGATACATCAAGCCGCTTGTGATTTCCCGGTGATTCAGGTTCTCGGTGAAACTCTTTGAAGTAATGTGTATCAAAGAGTTTCATGAACCTGGTAGAAGTCTGGCGGAGGCAATACAAAGAGGGTGCCGGTAGATGTAACATGACTTCCAGCACAACTTCACTGGGCAATTCTAGGAGAGGGAATGCTGAACCGACTTCCTGCGCGTCCTCCACTGGGGAAGTGGCTGCCGTATCTTTCAAAAGATTGAGAAAATATCGCCGCATTACCATATAGGCCGCTTTGAGGGTCTCCAGTAAGAAATTCTGCAACGTCGATCTCCTTTTTACCCCTTGTCGCTCCTCCCCAACCGCAGCCTCCTCCATGATTGGGTTCTCCTCTCCAACTTGGTTCTCTTGTCTGTCCGAGTTCTTTACTGGAACTTGCTGTGATGAGTTGGAGACTTCAGTTGTAACGCCGCCCACTTCCAGAACAGGAACAGCTGGGGCATAAATCCCGGTATGATCGAAGAGAATGGGACCCTCAGCAACACGTTCCGTGAGACTGTCAAAAGATGTAGTACGCCTGAGTAAAGAAGGCCTGTCCATCGCGATAAGTTAGCTGCGTGGTCCCAGAGGCAGCTGATTGTTCTGATTGATGCCAGTGTTGACTGGTGTTGGGCAGAAGCACTCGGTATTTCCGCTTGTGATGTAAAGTTCGTAATACGACGGAGTGTCTGCAGCGAAATCGAGCTTCAAATCCTAAGTTAAACTTGCTTTGTAATGGGTCTTGAGAATCGAGTGTATCGAAATGACTTTGAGAACTACTTCTGGGTAGGTCAATTTTTTTTTCTCGACCAGGGGAGTAGACATCTTTATAATGATGGAAAAAGACTACGTGGTTTTAAGCCTCCAGTCTGCAGACACTACGGCTTTTCCAAGGTTATGCTGGTGTGAACCTACCATATTCTAGCGCCAAGGCTATTTTGAGTTGGTTTGTACAAAATGGAACCGTTCTTCACGCCTACTTTGTTGAATTCTATACGTGACCCTGTCGGGTCTGAAGTGACTTCCCCGTCGTTGAGCCTACTGAGTCATGGGAAGTGCCATTTCAAGCCTCAAGTCCTTAGACTGAAATAAAACTCAAAGCTAAAATGGAATAAATAGTAGCAATAGAAAATAAGCTCGGCACGTGGGCAAGATACGACGAGGCCAAACTGGCAGTCACAACGACGACGTGCCAGCCATTCCAAACAGCCTCTCTTTTCTCTCGGCAAACACAAGGTATACTTGGCCCCAAGTGCATTCCCACGGATGATTCCTCCTCAGATATGATCCACATCTGTCCATGTACTACTTCAGCACGGGAAACTATAATTCTAAGACGACCGCCTGGCAAGACTGGTGGCAGTACCGGGCTTTCTTAGACTCTAACATCGTCTGACGCCACAATTTCTTAGTGTACATGTACAAAACGCCACTCCCAGAATAATTAGATTCATAGACGACAAACAGAGACTTAAGCCGTATGCCACTAACGTACTCAGACACTCTTACTGTCACACGATCACACGAAGCCTACGACCACGTGTGACAAGGGCCTAGCTTGGAGCAATTACTCAATTCATCTAATAACAGTCTTTGGTATCAAAGGTCCTTGGTTTTCCTTAAGGCCTTGAGGGACCAAAGCCGTCTATTTATACAAGAAGTCGGTGAGAGCCTTCTGCCCTAATCCCGTGACCGTAGCCCTTGTGTAACCAACGCCATTTCCGTGTGACACCACGGGACCTAGAGCAGAAGATCTTTACTGACTTCTTGTATCAACAGGAGCTCTTTAATCAACCAAGCCTTAAAAAAGTCAAGGACTTTCAATACCAGAGACTACTATTAGATGAATAAAGCTACTGACCCTAAGCACTCACTGAGTCATTGTCACACTCACGCTCAGTCTTCCAATCAGCCAGTCTTGCCAAATTTATTCCAACGCCTGCACGGGCCCTTTAAAACGAGGCCGGCTAATTATGTCCGAATTTCCTCTCTTATTCTGAGTAGATTTTGGCTTGATGTCAGGCTTTGCCTCGGGCTCGGGGTCTGGCATTAGATCGGTCCCGTGTGATATTGTTGCGGCTGCGCTGGCAAGCCTCTTTTCCCTATTTCTGTATAGCCTGGTATCTGCCCTGGTTGAATACTTTTTTCCTATAGTAGCCCACAGTTACTGCTTACACCCACTCCCTATCAACATTCAAAATGAAGTTCCCAAGAGAAGGAAATTGTTCCTGCCAATCTGTGACAATCGTTCACTTTGTAAAGGTTTGGAACGATGGTTCCATTCATGTTAATAACTTGCTGATATCCAAGGTCCTTTGTTTCCCTTAAAGCCCCTGGTGTAGATGCCTTTATTTATACAAAGCGGCGGCGAGCCCTGAAACCTCGGGGCCTAATATATAACCTAGGCATCGAGCCCTTGGATAATCATCGCCAAACTCACGGGTCAGTCCGTGATGTGACGTGACTTCCGTGTAACACAATCACTTATTGTTACACGGAAAAGGCCCAATAGATCCTGAAGCCCAATAAAAGGGCTTCGCCGATAAAGGACCTATTAGTTACACAGATTAAACACGTGCGCGGGCAAGAGAGCTAGGTACAGCCGTTCCCTTTATGTATTTCCAGTCGTCACTTGTCCCTCCCTTCCAGTTGGAAAACCAAGGACCGTAACACCCTTCAAGGATATTACTGAATACAAGTTTTTTACGTCAAGCCCTGTATCAAGCCCTTGTCACACTTATGCTGATCTGCGCTGTCGTCTGTGTCCTTTATGTGTTGTTTCATCGACTCATGGCCTCTCAGCGGCATTGAAACTTGGGGTGTCCTCTGCAGCGTTTTTCGTGGCCTCCCTTGTATCATTGAGATGGAAGCTCACAACGTTACTGTGACACAGCCGAGGGTCACACTTACAGCTAGATATCTGCGGTATTTAGACAAGGGCTGCTATTGCTGCATCTTTTGCTACTCAACGGTCAAACCGATACCTGTCGTGACAAACTCAAATGAGGCGTCTACAATCTCAACCTTGTAGCATATCCTGTCGTATATCTGTCAATCAATGAGCTAGCACTTGTCTCTTGTTTAGTTCGGTCTAGTACCGCACTGGACGTTCTAAAAATAGAGGAAGAACTGTGGTCTTAATCACTTAACCTGTTTTGGGCGCTGATCCCATCCGGCAAATGTTCCCAAAGCGCCAGACACGAGTGTAGTTGCCTATTACTGATACCCGTGTTTCTTACGTGGTTTGTCCGTGATGATGGATCATTTACAAAAGTGACAGATGGCGTCTGGTGAGTGTCTGCTTTTCCGGGCCGCCAAACAATCCAGCCTGCTTCGGTGCCCAGTCTGTAGAAACTAACCAATAAAAACGTGTTTAAATATTGATGCCCAGGAAACGCTCGTTCGTGAAACCCTCCTTCAGCCTAGTGGAGCAAGCCGGGAAATTGACGCAGCAATAATTCAATGGCAAACGGCTGATCCTCTGCTGGGATGGCTCCGAAGGGAGCGGGTCGTCGGCGGCCTCGTCAAGTGGCATCTCAAGTTTCAACCCGCGTCTGCTGCCAACATCATGCAGCCATGCAGCTCGATTGGCGACAGCCAAGAAAAGTGCGTCATGACTGTATGGCCAATGCTACGTCGATGGAACAACGGCGGCGCATTGTAGTCGGGCTGAATCAGGCCGGACCGAGTTTCTGCCCAAAAAGGGAATAGCCGGGCTGTCGGTCTCGGCACATTCGGAGTAAGACGATGCGGGGGATCCGGGCAGAGAGGAAGGCGGTGAGACAAGAGTGTCAACTTCATTTGCCCAAGCTCAGCCCTTACAGGACCTTGTTCTAGAATACGAGACGTAGGGCCTGTAATGGGGTCGGCCACCGTACGTTGCCTCGTATACGAGACACCGGCCTGCTATGACGCATGCACGTAAGATCTGAGTGGTAATGCCAAGCCCGGACACTGGATATATAAGACGATCACATTTCTGTTCCTTTTCCCCTTCAGATAGCATTCAGCAGCACTTGAACCAGAACCATCTCTCTTCTTCAGATCTCAGTAAACTCAGGGTGACAATATGAAGGCCTCCGTCGTTGCATTCACCGCGCTCTTGGGCCTGGCCTCTGCCCAGAACGCCGTCGTCATGAACACTTGCCCCACGGCCATCTATGTCCAGTCTTTCCCCTATGATGGAAGTGCAGCCGGCCCTCTTACCACTGTTCAGCCTGGCAAGTCCTTCTCTGAGCCGTTCAGAGCTAGCGGTTCGGTATGTTTATCCCGATTGTCAAAGTCGCATGACTCCGCAACCAACTCTTCCCGTCCATGTCGCGGAAAATGCCGTCTGAATGATGCTAATCATGTGTGTAGACTGTCAAGATTGCCAAGACCAAGACGCTTGACAAGCCTTTGTTCTTTGGGTATTCATTCTCCTCAAACCCCGACTATGCGTACTGTGAGTTTCCACTGGGACTGGATGCCCCTTTTCGAGAATCTCTCTGACCTTGTATTCTAGATGAGTTCAGCACGGAATGGGGCAACCCGTTTGCCGCAAGCCACAACACTCTGACCCCAGGCGATGGCTGCGAAGTCTTTGACTGTCAGGCAAACGATGCGGGCTGCTACAGCACACCTGCCCACAAGAAAGTCTATGGCTGCCCTCAGCCAGTCAATCTGACTGCCCAACTTTGCAAGTAGATAACGTCGACGGCCATGATGTCAACGGTTGTGGTTCGGCGGTAGAAGTACAGCGGTAGCCATCAAAGAGGATTGTGAAGAGTCTGAGAACACATTGTATTATTAATGTTCCCGGATTGCACATGGCAGCAGGATGCAGCTTACATAAATCTATTTTTAAAGTATTTATTATATTTAAAATATTAAATTGGAGTTCTCTATCAGGTATTGGCTGTGTCAGCAAGGGCTTGCGCTCTCCGAACCAGATATTCAGCCTCAAGGAGCCATTACAGATATTCTTATCTGGTCTAGGCATGCTCAAAGTAGCCTCAAGAGGATAGTAGATACCGGATTAACTATACATAATACTCTGGGAATTTATTCGGCTAAGTGTAGGACTCGTTTAATTTATCCTAGTTAAGCTTGATATTTGCCTTGAAATGTTCTAGGTTCGGGTGTTTTCCGCTGTTAACTTCTATTCCTTTAACTTATTTATTAAACTTAATAAAATTGGTAGTATTAGCAGCAACAATTACAAGGGTTGTAGGACAGGGGTCAAGTTATTAATTTAGTAGCATAGCCCACTATTATTATCTTAGCCGCAGAGCTCCTTCCGTAAAAGCAGACATCTTCCTGCCAGATTAAGCAGTAAGACTTTCCGCTATTCAGCGGAAAGGAGTGCATTATTTCACGGAAGCGGGATCGCGTCCAGTGCACTTATTTGATTAATAAAAAGTGCCATGTCCAGATGTCAACTTGCAGCTTACCTATAAGTACCTCGGTAGGTAATAGTTGACCAGACATATCTGGTAACTGTCCAGGCGGTGTCGTGTGCTGCAAAGCGCTGTAAAATGAGCCAAGTTGGCGCCTTGGGCACGTCGGCCTCGATCGATAAGAATTCAATGTTCGCTTCATGTCCATGACCCTGGTATTTCCTGAGGCACCGACATCGAGGAGACCCATAAATATCAAGGTGACGCTCATCGAACGGCGCGTAGGCATCAATCAGCCCTTTTCACCACAACTTGGGCGTCATATCCTGTATCAACAGAATAAAGTCTTTCAAGACCTTGACGCGTTCCTGGAAAACCCCAAGAGCCATTCATCCTCCCAAAAGCAGTCAAATCGCTTTACCATCCCGCACAAGGCGCCATTCTCTTCATTCATGCGCAATCAGGCCAGGACAAGGCCCGGCACAGGCATACCGCGACCAGTATCACTGGATTGACGGCGCCGAGTCCCTCGAAAAATACACACGCGGTGGCTACCATCCGGTCATGATTGGGGACGTACTCAACAAGCGCTACCAAATTGTCGATAAGCTAGGTCACGGGGGATATTCAACCGTTTGGCTTGCGCGCGACACCTAGCAAGAGCTTTACGTCGCCCTCAAAGTCGGCATCTCAGATTCGAGGCTGCACGAGACCGCGGTCCTAAAAAGGCTCACCGACCTCAAGCCTCGCACCTCGTCAGATCCTGTCACTTCATCAGGATACGATGCTATTCCCCGGCTCCTCGATGAATTTACCGTCCGCGGCCCCAACGGAACGCACCCGTGTTACGCAACTACTCCCGCCCAATGTTCTCTCAGCGATGCTTCCCGTCATTCCCTGTTCAGGCTAGAGGTAGCAAGGGCTCTATCTGTGAAGCTCGTGTCGGCGGTCGCATACATGCACAGCCGGGGCTATATTCACGGAGGTTTGTCTCATGCCGCCCACGCCTACTCCGACACCCCTTGCAACTGTTCCTAACGCCTCACCCCTGCTAGATATTCACCTCGGCAACGCCATGCTCAAATCTCCATCCAGCCTAAACAGCCTTTCTGTCGAGCAGCTGCACGAAAAGTACGGACGCCCAGAGACCGTCGCCGTCTCCCGCGTCGACGGAGCCCCTCTGCCGCATAATATCCCCGAAAAGGCGGTTCTGCCACTCTATCTCGGCAAAAAAGCCCACGAAATGTCTCTACCAGAGACGCGCCTGATTCTCGCTGACTTTGGCGAGGCATTCGCTCCCGCGTCCAGCACACGCCCCTGCGAAGACTGTCGGTCACCGTTGGCCGCCCGGCCGCCCGAAGCGCGCTTCGAGCCGCTATCACCACTTTCATTCTCCGCCGATATTTGGTGTCTCGCCATCACCATGTGGAAACTCGTCGCCATGAAGCCCCTCTTTAGTGATGAATTTATTCCACCCGACGCGGTGGTCGCACAGCAAGTAGACGTGTTGGGTCCCTTGCCACACCCTTGGTGGCGGCGCTGGGAGCAGCGGCATCAATTCTTCGAGGAGGACGGAAATTCCACTCAAGGAGAATACGCATCGCCTCCTCTCGGCGAAGCATTCGACGCCTGGGTCCAAAAGTACCGGAAAGAATTCAAGGTGGGCGTGTTCTCGCAAGGAGAAAAGACGGCGTTTCTACAATTGCTGCGCCAGATGCTGTCGTTTGATCCAAAGGACCGGCCAACGGCCGCAGAGGTGCTAGAGTCAGATTGGGTAGTCGAGTGGGCGAGGCCAGACTTTGAACGGAGCATCAAGTAGGCATCCATGCTTGGCTTCTTCACAACTGCGCAATTACGGCCACAGCAATCGTGTCGTGGGCGAGGAGCTTCATAGAGATACGGACACGACGGAGAGCACGGGGGTGCGAGAACCGATTAGCTCTCAGCATTGAGGTATGTTGGAATTTCGCATTGGGCGTGCGTGACCCTGCGACGGGCGGCAAGACGGACTCAGCCGTGCCTACGATGCTGGATGCATGCCGGCGCCCAATAGCTTCAGCCGGGCTTTCTATCGGGATTAGATGGCAGGTCAAGCCCATCAAGGAGGCGCAGCCCACTGGTAACCGCCCCGAGTGCATACAGCCATCAATGCCAAATATCAAGCACGCCACTCCCTCATGAGCATTCTCATCGAATACGACAACGACTCAGGATTGGCCTCGGGCTGGGCACTGGCAAGAGTTTTAATAAGAACATGTCAAAGAGCTGGGCACAACTTGATCCCGAACAGGACGGCACATCAAATGACTCAAGGGCATAACTTTTCATTTGACGTTTTCTTTCAGCATAAGCCAGCACAGTTCCCAGTATACCGGTACAGTCTGCGGCAGAATATATTTACCCATCGACAAGTACACACCAATATGCCATAATACAGTATAGTATAGAGCGTGATGGCCCTGTACCTGATTTGGCCAAATACTTTTTGCCTCCCACTGTATATCCGACGTGTCTTCCTCCGCTCATCACATGTAGTGTCGAACAATAGCCACATGCAACGCTACATTATACGCATGGAACTCAAGACCCAAGCAACCTCTCATCATTGACGTAATTCATCTAGCCAAATGAACAATATTACATGACAAAAAGCAGGTTTGTATCTAAGGGGTTGTTAGTATTGGTGTGTGGGAAAAGACAGGCACGAGGTCAACGTACCCAGTGGATGGCTGCAGGATAGCTGAGGCTTCTGAGTATACTTGGATGCAAGGATATCTCGAACGCTGTTCAAGAGCTCGACATAGCTCTGCTTAGGGTTCTGTTTAAGGGCAGTAATGAAAGCCCAAGACATGGCACCAGTTGCCTGGTTGGCAATTGTGGCATCGGCACTGAAAACACACGGGTTAGCACGTATAACTGCGGCAGGTCGCATTCCATGTGGAACTTACGATGTCTGGTCATCCTTGCTTCCGGACCACATAATCACATCGGCAGGCGACGTTCGGGTCTCCATGGTCTTGTTGTATGCATCATCTCCCTTGAATGCAGTCTTTGCGAAACCAAAGACGGTGCTTGCAACCCCCGCCATGTCGCCACGTGCATAGGATCCCAGTGCGCTCAGGAGACCTTGGCCAGCTTCCTTGGCAAGGTTGGGCTCTTTCAATACACCCTTGGTAGAGTAGACATATGGCAGGTCCATCGCCGTGGCCGAGTGGCAAGAGTCAAAAATAGCTGTCAAGCGCACACCTGGCTGCAGGGGTTTGACCAAGCGAGCGTGAATTTCGTCATCAACAATGTGTCCCACTTGCTGGTGATCGACAGGGTAAATGACCTCGTCAAAGCCATCGTCTTCGTCGCCGTCGAGATCCTCGGTCTGACCACCGTGGCCTGATATAGACTATGGTGAGCACTGCATCATGGGTATGAGACACGGAATTACACTTACCAGAGTAGTGGAAGAAGAGCGCGTCGTTGGGGCGAGCATCCTTGACGAGCCATCCCATGGCGCGAATCATGTTGTCCTTGGTAGGTCGCATAACGGGATTTTGTTGATCGTCGGTCAAGATGACCATGTCCTCCCGCTTGTAGCCATATCTTTCGATCAAGAAATTGGACACGTTGTGGACGTCGTTGATACACCCGCGAAGCTCTCCCTTTTGTCCAAAGTAGTTGATTCCAATCAACAAGGCCTTTCGACGACCAGTACAGTTGGAGTACTGGAATGTATAGCCTTGGGGAGCACCGTGGCCAAACTGCTGGGGGGCACTGGGGGGAGGGGGGCCGGCGTGCGCGCGGTAGGCATAGGTGCCTCCTTGCATCGGATATCCGTAAGCATCATATCCGGGCGGCGGTGGATTGGCCGGCGGAGGACGGGCATACTGAGGCTGGGGACTGTGACCGTAGCCTTGGGGCGGCCCGGATGGCGGACGCGGGCCTGGAGGAGGAGGACCATAGTTCCCCTGGGGAGGACCGTAATTACCGGGAGGTGGTGAATTGTACTGGCCTGGGGGAGGGCCGTAATTTCCCTGGGGAGGACCATATTGACCCTGAGGAGGGCCTTGAGGGGGGCCGCCGTAGTTTCCATAGCCGTAGCCAAAGCCAGGGCCTTGGCCCTGAGGGAAACCTCCTCCGCCACCGTGATGCTGCGCAGCACCGTAGCGTCCTTGGCCAGGATAGCCAGACATGGTGGTTGCGATGTATGTACGCGTGTGTCGTCGAGAAGAAAGCCGAATACGATGTTGCCAAGTACGCGCAATGTGATGCGCTGAAAGTCTCAAGTCGATCTAGGCGATGTGTAGAACAATTATCAAGGTCGGCAGCGACGTGAAGATGGGATTTCCAAGGTGCTTCAGGCTTTAGGTTGAGTGTCGCCTCGCGAACGAGTTATCGATGCTGACTTGGGTGCAAGCTTCTCAGCCCGGGCCGTGGGCCGAGGAGGGATGGGCAGGTTCGACGTTGGCGATGGCGGTTAAATGGGCCGGTGAGCGGTGGTGCGCGCAGGACTGGCAAAGTTGCAAACGCAGGTATAGACACAGGACGGCCGCGATGAGGAAGAAAGGAAGGCCAGGCTGTCTCTCTGGCAAAGGAAGCAAGAAGAAGGTGGTGGATGAGGCACTTGGCATGACGATGGCGATGGCGACGCGGATGGTGGTTGCCCCGCCCCCACCTCTTTAGGAAAGCGCTGCTCAGCCCCATGATGTGACCAAAACATTCTGAACATGCTGAGACACCTCACATGTGCAGGGTGCACACTGCCAAACACCCAAACATCTGCGAGTAGTCATGGACGGGCGGGATCAAGCGTGGATCAGCCGCGCACTTTGGCAAGGGAGGAGTTCCCGAGGTCTTGGCAGCACGACCACGCTCCAACAGCTTTACCCAACATGTCCTCTCTCGACTCCTGCCTGACCTTGGTCTGCCTGGCCATGGCTAGAGCGTGGCGTGAGAACAAGTTGGCCCTCTTGTTCAATGTTCCCTTTGTCACCCTCATCACCGCCTTGCAACACCCCACCAACTTCATGACCAACTGCCGCTCCAATGCTCGGCTTTGTTCCAAGGGGCTATTCGGGCGTTCGGGGCTGTGCTCACCCAGTGGATCTGCAACCTGAACAGTTGCCCGTCTGCATCTGCATTGTCAGAAGTGCCCAGCCGATACGTGTCGCGACAATAAGTGTTCGGTGCTGATTCATGGCCGGCCGACGCTATGCAGCCTTGGAGGTTGTTGGGGCCGTCGTCATGACAAACTAACTTGATGGAGCGGCCCGTTTGGACGTATGCACCAGGGCCAGAATCTGACCTTTCAGGCCCTCTGGACCCTTGGGACCCTGGACCTTTCCAGTCCGAGGCGCCAACATCATTGCTTGTCGTCTCGAATGTCCCGCATTCACTGAGCTCGACTGTGATTGACCCCTCGTCCTCGTCCACCTAGTCCCAGTGCCTCCAACCAAGACCACCCACGCTTCGTTGCAGTGCGGGAGGGATCCAACAGGGGGCTTGGGGATAAAATACTCTTCTCTTCACCTCTTTCCCGAATCCTCCGTCCTTCCTGCAGCGGTACTTTTTTCCTGATGCTCTAATTCTCTGCTTCGAGCGTTGTATTTCGTCGACATCATCTGCACCAACGCGCCGTCACAATGTCGTTCCAGGGCATGACCAACCAGTTTGGCAATATGGGATTTGGCGGCCCCCCTCAGCCCGGTTTGTCTCTTCTTGGACGCAACGCAACTTTTACTGCCGCTTGCTTACCATGGTCTACCTCGCAGATAATAACTATGGAGGCTATGGCCAGTACAGCGCAAACCAAGGCGGTCCTCCGCCCCCCCAACCTTCCTACCAACCACCATCCGACAAGCCGCCACTGCCCCAGGGATGGACTCCCTACTTTGACCAGCAACACCAACGTTGGTTCTACGTAGAGGAGTCTACGGGCAGGACGCAGTGGGAAGCACCGGGCTACAGTCCGCCGCCCATGCAAAGCCCTCCCGTGCAGAGCCCTCCGGCCCAGGGAGGCTACGGGCCTCCTGCTGGTCCCCCTCCACCAGGAGGAGCTTATAATGGAGATGGCCAAGGTCAGACCAAAGGCGACAAGAAAGAAAAGAAGGGCAGCGGCGCAGGAGGCCTGCTTCTTGGTGCTGCTGGCGGCCTTGCAGCAGGCGCCATTGGTGGAGCTGTTCTTCACCACGCTCTCCACGGAAGCGACAGCGACAGCAGCGACGACGAAAAACCCCATCACTCATCATATGCTGCCCCTGCCGCTGCCGAAGCTGCAGCTCCGTCTGTGACCAATATCTATCATACCGAATACGTCACGTACAACGAGCCGCCACCAGCAATGTATGCCGCCAACCGGTACGACAGTGACCGGGAGTCTCTTGACGAGGCTCGAGCAGACGTCTACGAAGCTCGTGAAAACTACCAGCAGGCACTGGAGGACGCTGCTAGCTCCAGCGCCAGCAGCAGCGAGATAGAAGCGCTGGAGGAAGCTCGGGAGGAGCTGTATGAAGCCGAGGAAGAATACGCAGAGGAGTTTGATGAGTATTATGAGGACTAAGGGCTTTGTGCTCTGGTTGTGTAGCATATATGATACCAAGCATTGAGCGTTGACGGCCAAATCATCAAGCAAGTTGTGTTAGTTCAGAATGCAAGTTGAATGGAAAAAGTCGAATTTGAGAGACAAGAAGGGTCCATGCACTTGGGCTGCCCACCAGGCTAACGTCTCGCTAAGTCTGTGACAGTCTGGATGGCATAAAATGTGTGAATAGTGCGTGTTCAAACCTGCGGAGCACACAATCAGTAGTATTCCTCCACGAAGGAAACTCC